TCGACAGACACACACAGGTCGCAAGCACAACACTATTGAATGCTGCTCCCCTGGCTGACGCCTGCATCCAGGTGTTTCCTTACCAGGCCATCGAGGATGGTGTTTGACTCTCTCACTTGATCCTTGATAGCATGACCCAACTGAAGCAGCAGCAGCAGCAGCAGCAGCAAGAGAGAGAGAGAAACCAACAGAACAGAGTCCAAGGCTGTTTGCTTGCGTGTATGTGTGTGTGCGCGCGTGTGTTTGGGCACCTCTTTGAGTGTGGAGACTTTGCCCTCCAGGTCTTCGATGTATCTGTCATTCTCCTGCTCCATCATGGCCTCGGAGTGGTGCGCATACCTCTCCTGCTCCTGGTCGCGCCGCTTCGAGTAATTCGAAAACAGAGCGGCGCGCTGGTCGACCTCGAACCTGCACACAACCACACACCAAAGCAGCGTTCAGAAGAAACCGACAGGCGCCGTGTGGGAGTGGTTGTCCCTCCCTCCCTCTCTGTTACCTGTTCGCCATCCTCTGCTTGAAGACGTTTCTATCGGTCATACAGCAGTGCTCATCAATAGCTCACGCTCCGCAGCACAAAGCAAGAATATCACACCTTCCCTGTTGGCCCACGTCAGATTCAAGCTCGCAAATGAAAGCAGCGATGAATATCCTCCTGTTTGCTGCATCTGCCCTCTGCGTGCTGCGTGTTGCGTGTTGCGTGTCCGGGTTGCATGTTAGGGTGCGTGTTTTCATGTTGGACAGACCGACAGGGGACTTGGCCGCTAGGCCGCCTAGGGTGCTCCCTGAAACCGAGGCTAAAGCAGCGATGAATGAAGCCATCAGCAAACAGACGACGATGAAGAACACACTTGCATACTCACTCCGCCACACGCCATGATCACTGCCGATAATGGATGTGCCAGCCCTGTCAGTGTCTGGGGCAGTGAGCCAGATCAACACGTGAGCACTGACCGGCTGACCGACTTGTGAGCTGACATACAGAGATGGGAAGGGAGGCACTTTCTCATGCACTTATCGTCGTTTCCATCTGGAGACTCATCCGTTCACTTTGTCTGTGTGTGTGTGTGTGTGTCGCTGCAGGCATGTTTGATTCATTCCCGGCGATGGCGGGCGGTAAGCCTTCGACTGAGCCTTCAGTTGCCGAAGCGAGAGATGAAGACCCTCTGCCGGACAAGCTTGCCGTTCTGGTCAAAGTTGTCTACCAAGAAACCGGCTCTAGAGTGGCGACAGAGGACTTCAAGCTGTCTGATGATACGACGCTGGGTGGCCTCCTGAGAGAGGTCGCCGGTCGCATTCAGCCAATATACGAGAGAAAGGGGTCGTCTGTCACGGGAGGGGAGCTCAAGTGCAAAGACGACAGCCTGGAGGACGACCGACTTAAGCCCGTCAGGTAGGTGGACACAAACCGTGTGTGTGTGTGTGTTCGTCGCGTTCGTGTCTGTATGTGTGTGGACGCCTTGTTGTGTGCCTTTCTGCCTGTCAGAGAAGTTTTTCAAGATCTGATCGATGCTGGCGAAGACATCATCATCATGGTCGAGGCGCCGTTGGTGCAGCCCATAGGTGAGGCAGGCAGCCACCGAGGCGAGTGGTTCATCTGCCCTTTGTGGCTGCATATGGCTGTCATGTTGTTGTGCTAGCAGAGACGGTGGGGCAGCCACGACAGCAGCTGGGAGGACAGCGGCTGCAGCGCAACACAAAAGCGATGATCCCTTCGCGGCGAGAGCTCTCGGCCCTCAGCGGCGGCCGCAGCTTATTCAGCAGACCTTATCGGCATTCAGAATTGAGGCAGCCGCTACTACGGCCAACACAGCATTCGCCCGGTGCTTCCTCGCACTAGCGGATCGGCCTGCGGCACCTCATAGAAGGGGACGGCACACAGCGACAGACACTTTGCCGGTACGTTGGCATGGCGAGCGACACACACACATCTATGGTGCCATCCAAAGCATGTTGGTGTTTGTCTGATTCGACAGGTCAACTGTGCACGGCTCCAAGTACGGCGATCTCCTCGATTGTGTGGGCGACAACCAGCGCCTGGTGTTGATCATCCGCAAGGACCCCTATGTGTTCGGCGTGTACATCAGTGACGGCCTGGGGGAGAGAGAGTGTGGCCCTGCGGTGTTGGAGGTGCTAGGTGGTGGAATGAGCCCTTGTTTCTCCCCCACCTGCCCCCGCGGTGGCCGGCTGTCTGCCTGCCAACCTGGCTGTGCTGCGTGTGGTGACGAGGTGTGAGGGGTTGCCTGTCTGTCCGACCGCCCCATCTCATGTGCCTCTTCTCGTCCGCTGCATTCTCGTGTGTGCGCGATATATGCTTTTCTGTCTTTCATTCTCTGGTGGGTGGAGCCTCTCTGGCTGGCCCGTGCGTGATGAGATGAGAGCTGAGACTGAAGAGTAGATGTGAACTGACGCGAGCAATTGTGGCGTTGGCAGTGGTCCTTCAACACATGGAGCAAATTGTCCGACTCACTCACACACCCACTCACTGTCCACCGAGAAATCTACAGCTCCCCCAGCAGCTACCCTTCATCTAGCAGCCCCCCTTGACTCAGTCACCCGCACTCACACGCGGGCCTTCTTAGCGCGCTGGTCGGTGGTGTTGTGAGCTGTGGGGTCGTGCTTGCGCTTCCTCCCCTCTCCAGCCGGGCTGCTTGTTGGCGGGGGCGAATCCGTTCTGCACACATACGTATGTGCACGGAGGAGTAGAGAGAGAGAGCATTTGTGCAGGTACGTACAAGAAATGTGTCTCTTTGTGCTGACCTCAGCATCCGCCAGAACCGAGACACGGCACTGGCGACTATGCCCGATAGTTCGCCCACCACAGCGGCGCCCACCCCCTGCCACCCCCCAGCACCATCCTCCTGGCCGCTCTGAGGCTCCTGGTGCTGCCCCTGGTGCTGTAGCTGCTGCTGCTGCTGCTGCTGGCGAGGTGTGGGTGGGGCCGTGTGCAGGGTGGGAGGGGCCGGACGGGTGGGGAGGGGGGCGGGGCGACTGATCAATCAATGGACATAAGAGGACAGGGGAAGGTGCACATGGCTGTCCATGGCTGTCCATACGCTGTGATGTGATGGACGTGTCAGCGTACCTCTCGGCAGCCAGCTCTTTCATGGCGGCCGACACAGAGGCACCCACGAGCCTGCCGACGTTGGGTCTCTCGCTCACGCCACCGAACTTCTTGGGTACGCCAGTGAGCTGTCTGGTGCGAGAGCTTGTCGAGCGCCCCTCCACACGAGCGAGATGGGGGTACTGGTCACTGATGGATGGATGGATGTCAATCAGCACACACAAAATAAATGAGACACGTCATGAATCGATTGACGTGTGTGCTGGTGGGGTGGATGTGTGTGGTGTGTTATGACCGACATGTTGGACAGGTACACCAGCTGCAGTGCAGTAGAGACAAGGAAGCCAAGAATAGAAACCACACAGACAGAGACGCAGATAGTGGTGTGAGTCCGTTGTGGTGCGTGTAATCGTGTGCTTACGTCTGGGAGCATCTTGGCTATCTCACGGGGGCCCAGCTGGGCTGGCGGGGCGATCTCGCCCTCCTTGCACCGCACGGCCATGTCAATCGCCGGCCGCTCCCCAACGCACACCGCTGCTACACACGTGATATCGTCGGGCTGAACACACACACGTACGCAGCCATCCATCCATCCATGTGTGCAGGGAGTGAGGTGAGTGTTGCTCTGACCTTCCCGCCCAACATGCTGGCGTCCTGCCTCAGACCCAGCGGCGCACTCAGTCCCATCTTCGCCACTTCCCGCCTCGCATGAGCTCGCGCTTCCAGTGTGAAGGGCGACAGGATGTCCCTCATGATACTGCACTGGTACGCGGCCTTGACCAGAGCATCAGATACGGCCTCACTCACGGCGATGGGGCTGCTGCTGTTGCTTCTAGTGCCGCGTGTGGCGGCCGTATGCGTGCTGTTGATGATGCGGGCCACTTGGTGCTGGAACAGGTTGTCCCACAGCCCGTCCGAGCCCATCACCACTATGTCGCCCACACGGATGCGCACGGTCTCCTCACTCATGAGCTCTCTCAGACTCTCGGGTGTGGCCGGGGCGAAGGGGGCGTCGCGGGACCAGTGGGTGTGGTAGCGGCCCGGCACCTCCCACGGCACGCGACTCACTTGCCTGTCAGCCAACACGCAGACAGGAATCAGCCACAATGAATGGATGGGCATGTTTGTGTGTGGCGTGGGAGGACAGCCTGTGCAGGCAAAGGAACACTTACGCCGGGCAGTTGAACGTGTCGTGCGGTCTGAAGTGGGTCGTGCGGGAGCGGTAGATCTCGACGAACTTGCCTCTCTCGCCCTCGCGACGGTACACGCTCACCCTTGAGTCGCCGATGCACGCGACATCCAGGTTGGTGCCGTGGACGGTACACAAAACAGCAGTCGTAGACCCCCTCAACCTGACGCAGAAACAAACACACAGAGCCAACAGCGATGGGATGGATGGATGGATGGATGGAGGAAGGTCTTACTTACCCGGAGCTTCTGAGCCCCGAAATGCCCTCGGAGAGCACCGTGGCTGCTCGCGTGTGGGTTTTGCTCTGGTAGCCGGCCTCCGTGATGTGCTTCTCGGCCTTGTTGCACTCCATCGCCAGCCTCTGCAACGGAAAACCACACAGGTCGACGCATCGAAACGATATCCATGGACAATTGATGCAGTGATCACTGCAGATGCATCCCCACTGGATGCATCCATCCATCCATCCATTCCATCCATCCAAATGCATCTGCCACTGCATCTCACCGACGAGAACGCCTTTGGATCACAGCCCGGAACTCCCGCCACCCCGCTGACCCCGTCATAGACCCCCATGGCCGTGGTGGGATGGAAATAACTATCGTGGCCGCCGTTCTGTTTTGAAATCACCCGCGCCGACGGACAGAGGAGCAGCTCCGCCGGGCTCCGATGCAGGACAGAGGATGCAGCCTTCTCCATGCTGTCGACAGAGAGCAAACGGGACGGCTGCAACCAGCCAAGAGCGACACGACAACTCCGCGAGCTCAGATCTTGAAATCTCGAGTCGGATCGAGGACGTTGGTGGTGGTTTCGTTTGTGGGGTACTTCAAATCTCGAGTATCGTGGGGATCGAGGACGTTGGCAGTGAATCAGTGATGGATGTACGTGGGTTGAATGAAGCCCCCTCTGTCAACACGCACCTCAAGACATGCACTCCCATGCGCTCTCATGCAAGCAATGATGCAATGGCTGCTCTGATCCGCTACGCGATCCGCTATCACTGCTGCTCTTTTCACACCTCCCGCCAATTACCACCATGCAGTCATGCTGTTCATCCAATAGACGGGCAAAAATTACCGGGCCGCCGCGCTGTGGGAAAGCGCCCGTCATAGCCCCACCGCACCCGTGGTGTGACAAATCGCTGATCGGCTGAGGTGCTGGCGACGAGTATCTTTCTGATTGGCGCAGCAGAAGCCATCCCCCACCTCAGTCGGAAAGCGACCCAGCCCCACGACGACAGACACATGCTGGTCCCCCCCACCCACACTGACCCGTCTGATGTCTGTCTGTCTGGTACATGGTATCCCCTGTCTGTCTGTCTGTCTGTCTGTCTGTCATGTGTGACGTGACTAGCCTCCCCGCCAAAACGCAGACCGACCCAACTCACTCACAGCCATGCATCGCCACATTGACACCATCCACGCACTCGCCCCCGCCCACATCCGTGTCTGTCTTCACATCGTCCATCACTGGTGTGCGCATGTCATGTCGTTGAATCGCCTCGATCCCGATCCTTTTCAAAAACACCGCCAGCAGCCACACTGTATACGCAATGGATGGCATCACTCGACAAAAACCTTTCATTCATTCAGACAGACAGACAGACAGACCTATTTCTAAGTGAGTGTTGGTGCGATCATCGAGTACACAGTCAGTCAGACAGACAGACAGCTCACCAAGCAGGGCGTCCATGCACACAAACAAGACGGCAGGCAGTCAGGCACACACAGGCAGGCAGGCACGCGTCAAACCAAAAAATTATCAGCGCCTGACGTGTGTGGGTATGGGTGTGTGGTGTGGGTGTGGTGTGGTAGTGCGATGACTGATAAGTGGTGAAGACGGTAAGCCGAGATACACAGGTGGACCCGGAGGCACTCAGGATCCATCCATCAGAGAGTGTATGAGTCCATTTAGTGTGTGTATGGGTGTGGTGTCTGTGTGGTCCAGTCGGTGTGTGTAGTGTAGCGTACTCAGCAAGATACAGTCAGAGGGGAGTAGCTACAAAATTCACTGCCCCCGACGTGGGAGCAATGTTGCGATTGTACGCACACGCACACCCATGGCGGTAACGATCAACCAAGACAAGACAAGACTAGCGATGCATCAGGTACGCGCTATGCTGCCCATCAGCCAACCAATCAAGCTAAGCAGTCAGCAGCTCACCCCATCCATGGACACACCATGACGACAGGGAGGGAGGGAGGGAGGGACATGCAGACACGCACACACACCACAGGCAGCAAACACGCAGGCGGGAGGGAGGCCCACAAATACAGGGTTTGCAGAGAAGATCGTCGATACACAAATATGACAAATGCACACGTTCAGGCGGGCAAAGAGTAAAACATCGTAGGTGGCAGAAAGACTACTCAGGAAAAACCAAATCCCACTGGCCGGCCGTCCGCGTGCGTCCCCCTCTCTCGCTGCCCTGTGCCGCACCACATCCACCCATGCATTGCATTCACGACGAAGACTGCGCACAGGAGAGGGCGACCCACTGGCGAAAAAAATGCTCCACCAAGATGCTCGCTGCAAACCGATAGAGACAGACAGACAGACCCATACGATTGACTAAAACTAACCACACAGCACAAATACGGACTGCACACGCACAGCGGCTGATCGATCTGCCGGTCTACATGTGCGAATGAATGAAGATATGTAGCGTACAGTGCACACACAAGACGACACAGCGTGGAGCACAGAGTACAGAGAGCCTACAGACAGACAGACTACCAGCAGGGAATGAAAAGGGGGAGGGAAGAGCACACAGGCACACACGCGACACCCATCACTCGATGCCCACAGCACAGGGCACCCAACCACCCCACCCAACCTCCAATCCATCCTCCTCTCTAATTCTGCAGCCCCTTGCGGCTGGCTATCTGTCTATTCTGTGTGTACAAGGCAAGTCTGCCGCCCCGCCAGCCATCCATCCAGGCAATCAACAGCCAGCCATCTACTCACCACTTCTCTCTGTCGAGCACGAGAGTCGCAGCAACCAACCAACCAACCAACCAATCGTTCGTTTCTTCCTTCAAAACCACCCATGGTACATCAGCCGCCCGGCTTGCCCTCTCCATTCACAGCTGCTCGTGTCGGTGTATGGGTGTGTTTGGCGCCGACATGGGCCACAGCGACGCGCAACTCTCGTCAAACGACGGGATGCACATGTACGGCATCCCCACAGCCACAGCCGCACTCACCACAGGCGCCACCCCCTCACCCTCCCCATCCCCTCCCACCTTGGCCCGCTTCCCGAACAGGTCATCCTCCCCGCCCTGCTGACCCTCCTCACCGCTGCTGTCAGCATCATCCCGCTTCCTCTTGCCACCAACACCACCCTCATGCTGGTCGTGCCGATCCTCCCCTGGCTGCTGCTCCTCCTCTTCCTGTGGCGCCTCCATGGTCGGCGGCATTGCCGGCAACTCAGGCAAGCCGGTGAGCGACGCGTCTGCTTCTGCTGGTGGGCATCCGCTCGTCAGCAGTGCCAGGACGGTGTGCACGACGGCGGGGTCCAGCTGAGTGGGGTAGTCGAGTGGGATGGGCTCGATGTGGATGGGAGCTGTGGTCGGGTGGATGACGTCGGAGGGTGAAGGGGTGGCGGGTGTATGTGGTGTAGGTGGCGTGACTGGCGTGACTGGCGTTGGCGGAGAGGGAGAGGTAGGAGAGGGAGGGTTGGGGGTGGGGGCGGGGGCGGGGGAGGGGGATGGTGGCGACTGCGCTGCGGCTTGCCGTCGTCGTCGCTTGCTCCTGGACTTGGTCATGAGGTAGTAGCGGTTCTTGATGCAGTTGGACGACCGTCCCAGCTCGCGGGCTATCGTGCTCCACCTACCGTCGATCACACAGAGACAAACAACACCGTGCCGATTGTGTGCGTGTGGCTGGCATGCGGTGAGATTTATATTGGCTGGCTCCACCCCCCCGCACAGGTACTTGTTTCCGATTTCCTGCTGTCGCTTGAGGATGTACTGGTCCTCCTCGTCGGTGAGGTCGCCGTACTTGAGGGCCGGGTTGAGGTAGTTGACGAACCGCTCGCGGACCTGCTTGCCGCTGCGGCAAATGCCTGGACCAACCAACAGCACAACCCGCATTCCTGCCGTCTGTCTGAGTGCGTTGTGTTTTGTCAGTTACCTACCGGTGATTTTCTCGAGTCGGGTGGCGACCTCTGTCCAGGTGCAGTTGCTGACGTGTGTGTCGCCCCCGATGCCCCCGCACTCGGCCAGCAGCTCCAGGGCAATCGGCCGCAGGTGTGTGTCCTCCTCGCTCCTGAACGGAAACGTGGCGGGCTGCCGACGAGCGGGACGCGGCAGGGGATTCTCGAGCTCACGCCACCTGACCAGATACACGACACACAAACAACAAGGGAAAGTCACGTGTGTGGCACTGCCACTGTGCTGTGGCAGAGGTCGCTTGCCTGTCGAGGCATTCTGTTTCGGTCCTGAGTGGGAACTTGATGGCGATGTCGGCCCAGGTGAAGGTGCCGGTGGCAGCGAGGAACCTCAGCTGACGGTCCTCCACGGCCGTCCAGGGCATTCTGGAGCCCTCGCCATTCAGCAGACCCTTCAACGCCTGCTGCAAGGCGGGGTCCACATACACGACGTCCATCCCGGCAGCTGGCTGGTGGCCCGCCCCCGCAGAGAGGGGAGAAAGAGACGCAGCTGGGGATAGCGGGAGGGCAGACAGGGCAGAGCAGGAGAGCTGTACAGGCAGCCCGTCAGTCAAGTCCGAGCCGCCTCTTCGAATTCGCAAAGGTATTTCTCCAGGCCGCAGAGGAGGGCAGACTTGGTGGGGTGGGGACTGCTTGGCCGAGGAAACGATCTGCAAAGCTTGCAAACGGCAGTTGCGAGCTTAAACATGCAGGAGATCTCTGTTTTGAGTCGTGATAAAAGTCACGCTTGTCACTCTTGGATGAGCCCATCGTCGGGCTGATCTTCGTCTTAAGACGATGGCGTGCAGCCGCTTTGAGTACGTCAAGACGTTCGAGCATGACCCGCCAATCCTGCCCAACTGCTGGTTCGTCGTGCGACTCGACGGAAGGGCCTTCACTGAGTCAGTCACCCGCACACGCACAAACATACGCACACGAGAGGCAACGCATCGTAGATCACTCATTGTCTGAGACGTTTCGGATGTGTGTGCGCCTGTGTGTTCATGCAGGTTCACCGCTCGTCACGGCTTCGAGAAGCCCAACGATCCCCGCGGCCTGGCGCTCATGACCCGCGCGGCTGCAGCAGTAGTGAACAAATTCAACGAGATCGTCCTGGCCTTCGGCGAGTCGGACGAATATAGGTCAGTGGCAGCCACACAACGCGGACCGTTTTGCCATCGGCTGTTCTCTTCTCTCCGTTGTATGCCGCGTATCGCAGTTTCCTTTTCCGGCGTGACACGACCCTCTGGGGCAGACGCATGAGGTGAGATCCATGTGGACACACCCGGCGAAATGTGACAGCCGTCTTGACTTCATTTCCCCTTCTGTGTGTGTTGGTGTTCGTTACCTCAGCAAGATCCTCACGAGTGTGGTGTCGCTCTTCACGGCCGCCTACGTCTTCTCGTGGAACGATGTGTTCGGCCGCCCACGGGACGGCAGCGATGGTGGGGAGTGTGGTGCTGATGAAAGCGGGGCTGAGGGCAGCCGCCTTCAGTGCTGCCCGTCGTTCGATGGGCGTGTGGTGTGCTACCCCTCAGAGCAGAATGTGCGCGACTACTTCAGCTGGCGGCAGGCTGACTGTGAGCATCTAGAAGAGACAAGGAGAGAGTGTCTGTGTCTGTGTGTATGTCTGTATGTCTGTATGTATACATTGCAGGTCACGTCAACAACCAGTACAATACGTGTTTCTGGAGCCTCGTCAAAGCGGGCGAGTCGCGCGAACAGGCTTATGAAACCCTCAAGGTGAGCCGCAAGCACGTGTGGATGGGCTATTGGCAATCCCGTAGCCATGTCCGTGTCTGTCTGTGTCAACCAGGGCACCCACACGGCCGCCAAGAACGAGCTGCTTTATCAGCGATTCGGCATCAACTACGCCAAGCTGCCCGCCATCTACAGGTACGCTGTGGCAACAGCCGGCAGCCGATGCTCCATTTGTCCATCATTTCCATGGGTCTACTCTTCTACCAACGCAGGAAGGGGACCATCATCATCCGAGACCCGGCAGGCCGCAGCGGCAGGCGGAGAGAGCAGAGGACGGCACAGGCAGACGGCGGTTGTCATGAGAAAGATCCACCGGCTTCTGCGGCTGCCACGAATGGTCCTCCAGAAGAGCCGTCAGGGGGCGATGAGGACGCAGGCCGAGACAAGGCCACCTATCCAGGGTCAGCCTGCCGAACAGATGGTTGTTGGCCGGCCGATGCATCTGGGTGTCTCGGTGTATGGTGTGTGCGCAGGCTGTGGGTCTTGCATGAGGACCTGATAGGCGACAGGTTCTGGGAGGCCTTCCCACACATCCTGGACCCGCCAGCCGGCAAGGCAGCAGCCAAGAACAAGACATAGACAGATAGCTTGATCTGTCAGCCAGTCAGTCAGTCAGTCAGTGAGTCAGTCAGTGAGTCAGCTGATATGGGAGCAGATCTATGCATGGCCCTAGAGGCACCCGTCGACGTCAGACAACATCTCCTCAGTCGAAGTAGGCACGCCTCGAGCGAGACAGAATGAGTGGATTCTGTCTCCTACTTGCTGAGGAGCAGTTCTCTGACGTTGGGTGGGTGGCTGGATGTACTGTACACAGCGGCGTGGCATTATGGTGCCTGCCTCTTCTGTCTGCTCATGACAAGCCGAAAGTGCACGAGCCCTTCGTCGCAGTGAGAGCTGCAGACGGGCCGAGCGTCCAGCGATGGCGGATACTTAGGACAGTGAGCCTGTCGATTGGCCGATGAACTGGATTGGCCGATGAACTGCACGTCGACGCGGCCGGCCGGCAGAAAGGCAGGAGCGACACGTGCAATCAATTCAATGGCTTACACAGAGTCTTGATACATCTGTCATCCATTCACACCAAATGTGGGACGGCAAGCTAGGGGGCGTCTCAAGCAACGCCCAGAAAATCTCGACGACTTCAATTCTTTCCGCAATTCTCGACGGCAGAGACGGGAAATGGTTTGATCTCTGTTTCCCCGTGACAGCAGCAGTCCCAGTCCATCAGCAGCAGCTCAGCCGTTTCGTCGCAGCAGCTCAGCGAGAGGAGGAGGCCACAGCGATGGCTAGCGACCCATCAGGGCCACCTCAGCCACCGGCCATCCTTCGTCTGAAGAGCGGGGACGATATCGAGCTGCCCATAGTCCTCGGGAGCGGCACAAGGGCCACAGTCACGGCCGGCCTCGTCAATGGGGAGTGGACGGAGTTTAAGATAGCGGCGCCGCCGGAGGGGAGCCAGCAGGTCTCACGCTCCATCTGCAGGGAGATGGAGGCGGAGAGAGCGACCATGGAAAGGCTGCAGCAGCGGCAGAGGGAGAGGAACGAGAGGGGGCTCTTCCTCGACGTCTACGAGTATGCTGGCCCCTCAGACGGCGCGGACTTCCGCGCCAGCCCATCCGCCCCGCCACAGCAGTGCGTGTACCTCGCCGAGGAGGTCATCAACGACCCCCCATCCGCCAACACACATGTGTCCTTATCCGACCTGCTATGCACAACCTGGCGGCCATCTCGGCGGCCCACCCGCCCACACAGCCGGCCGACCAGAAGGCCATGGGGATGATTGATAAGTTGTTGACGACAGTGAGGGCGTTGCGTGAGGGAGTGAGGGGGCATAGGAGGGCACTCGACGACTACGACACCGTGCTCCTCGACCACTGCGTGAATAACATCTACGTGCGTAGGATCGCCATGGGTAAGGCTATCAGTGACACGCAGACAGACCATTACAGACGCGGAGAAATGGGATGACCGCACTTTGGCTTATGTATTGTGTGTGGTTGGTGTGGTGTTTCTTTGCCCGCCTGCCTCAGGTGGCGGCGTATCTGACCGGGCCGGTGTGCTGTTCATCGACCACGACAATACGCTGCACGGTCGCCAACCCGGCCCCCTACTGCGCCGCAGCGACGGCACCATCCCCTCACCCCCATACCCCCAGAAGGCGGCCCTCGCCCCGCTCTCTTCGGCCGCCGTGGAAAAGGAACAGCAGCTGCCTATCAACACACACTTCTGCGGGCCGCCAGAGCAGTTGCTCCACTGGTAACCGCCGGATCTACCTGGCCGACGAATGGGTAATGTGGGTGGACCCCTTCTTGAGGAGTGAGGAGCGGGAGGTGCGGGGGGCAGACGGCCAGGTGTCTCGCTGGGGTCGTCAAAATCGTTACCTACATTTTATATTCGGCAGAGACATATCTCTACGGTCCTTTGCCCAAGAGATTACTTGACGGCCGAGAGCATCTGGATGCGAGCGTTTGAATGGCGTACAATACATGGTACACACACAGACGGAGGGGCACGTGAAGGGTTGATGAATCCGCTCATGCCGTCGCAGGATTATCAGACGCAGAAGGCGCAGAGCCAGGCCACCGAGAGCGGCACAGACAAGACCAAGGCCAGCAGGGGTCTCCGCGTGCTGGGCTTTTCATGCTAGGCGGGCAAGGGTGCGGAGGAGAGCAAGGCTGAGTCCGAGGCCAAGAGGGAGGGTAAGAAGGGCGGGGCGTTGTTTGGGTTTGGGTGCTGCGGCGGCTGGGAGGCGGTGAAGGAGAGGGATACCGAGATAGCGGTGGGTAAGGGTGAGGACAGCAGCAACGACGAGTGGGATGACGATGTCGGCGGGGATGAAGCCATCTGCCTGAAGCCCAACAGCAGCACCGTCATCGCGGCGACCAAAGGCAGCAAGGATGGCAGGGATTGCAGGGAGATAGCGCTGCACATGCATTATGCGGTATGCGCACAGACGAAAGAGTCTACATGCACAGAAGAGAGATCACATTCGCATTGCATGCAGAATCGTTGCCTACATTTTATATCTGGCGGAGACATGAATTCATCATTTCGCACCACATCGCACGATGTGTCGGCACAGGGACATGTCTAATCATGACGAAAGTCGGCAATGGTACAGACGCTACACAAATCATACATAGATGGAATCATACATATATGTGTTGTGTGTTGTCCTTTCCACACAGGTTGTTGGCGAGCCATCGGACGGGTCATCGACACAGGACTCCCCACGGCCCAAAGCACTTGACTCACCCCCCAGCGATGCCCAGGCCACACCTCCCGTCGCCTTCTCCAACCCATTCTCAAATGTGCTGTCCAGCGGACCCCCACCCCCACCCACCATCGTCGCGGACGACGTCGTGCCGGTGGGTCACGGCATGACGTTGGAGTGTGGGCGGGCACTCACCGGCGGCAGGGGTGAATTCACCCTTGTTATGTTTTTTTTTTGCAAGGGCGCCAGCACAACAGCAGCCGTCATGAAGTACATTACCCATGACCAGAGAGGCTCGGGCAGGGACCATGTGCGTGAGCTGTACAACAGCCTGCAGAGCGAGGTGGGCCGTCTGCCCGATGCCAACACGGCCCTGAAGATGGTGCCCCAGCTGGGCAGCACACAGCCAGCAACAAGCAGCACACGTGCCGTGCCTGATGTCCTGGCGGCCGCCGTCCGTCCGGTGGTCAGCGAGGACGGCGAGAAGATGGTCGGCACGGGGTATGCCTTATCATGACGAAAGTCGGCAACGGTGCGGAGACCTACATGCATACATACATACACACGCTGTGAATCCATCCATGAATGTGTACGTATTGCACTTGTGCACTCAGGTGTGTCGCCCCCGTCCCGCCGCCCCACTGCTAAAGCCCACGCTCGCGGTGAACACCATTTGAGCCACCCTGGCACTTCATGATGCCAAGACGACCCACAACGACTGTCACCCGGGAAATGTGGTGCTGGCGGACGGGGGGAATGGGGAGGCGGGCATGATTGACTTCGAGTCCGCCCTGAACAATCGCCTCGGCCCCCCGTGCACCACTGTGGGCAACACGCAGGCGGTCTTGGAGGGGCGGGCACTGCGCGATAAGTGGTGGACTACTACGGCGACCTGGTCGGCACGGCGTGCTGCCTGCTGCCGCTCTGCTGTGACGATTCCATGCTGGGGGGTCAGTGGCCCCGGATGCAAGAGGTCAGATCAGGGGCGTGCTGGCCAAGTGTGAGGGAGGGCAGCTCACCACCTTGGAGGCCGTCAAGGAGACATACACCCAGGCCATCCACAGCATCCACACCGGCGCCCTGACCAGCATCGACAACGACGAGCGGCTGACACCGGCCACCCGCGGGATCGCCCAGAAGACGGCTGGCCTGTTCCGCGATGTGTGTGTGGGGCATGCCCAGGGCGTGGCTCCGGAGGAGCTGAGGGAGATGATGGCCTCATACTGCGACGACACCACGACAGGTGTGTCGAGGCACTTGGCACCGTCAATTGCACAAAGCATGTGTGCATCTCTGCCGTGTGTGTTCGGCTGTGTGCAGAGATGACGCGCATTGCCAAGGAGTGGCCCGACTACTGCCAGACACCAGAGCCGAGTGAGCACAGCACGCACGTGACTGCAAAATTGCGTTACTGGCACCACAATACAAGCCGTACAACACACACCTCTGTCTGTGTGTCTGTGTGTGTGTTGTCAGCTGAGTACGAGGCCATGATGGAGGCCCTGGGCGTCTCCCTCTGATGCCCACCATCACCATCACCACCACCATCCGACCCCCTGTCGCCTTGTGTGTGTTGCATTCGTGTTTTGAGGGAGGGAGAAGCGAGGAGGGAGGAAGGGAGCGGGAGAGAGACAAGGTCATAGCTTCAGTTGGTGCTTTGGGGCAGAGAGGGGGGCAACGAGTAGCGCAGAGGGTAGCAGACAGACAAGAGCCAAGACAACACCACACACCACACATCACACTAGAGAGGTCCTCTGCGCGAGTGGCGTGGTCGGCCGCTCATCATATTGGGTAGCCACGTCGATGACCAAACGACACATGTATTGGCGGCAACCGTCACATGTGTCGTTTTTTTCTTCTTCTTGCCTGGCTGTTAGTGGCCAAGTGTGAGGGAGGGCAGCTGACCACTATGCAGGCCGTCGTCAGAGAGGAATGGGGAGGCGGGCATGCACCAGGTAGCCATTTACGACATCTACACGATCGCCGCGGCGACGAGCGCTTGACAACGTCAGGATCGTTGCCTACATTTTATATTCGCCAGAGACATTACTCTAGAGCCCACGTTGCGACTGGCACGATGAAGGTGAAGATCGCCTAATGCTCGGAATGTGGCTGGGTGACGCAGCAGGCCCGTCGTATGCTGGTGAGTTAATTGATGCTTGTAACACATTTTTTGTCGGCTGCGTGCGCGGCTCTGTGTTGACTCGCTCGGTGACTTCATGCTGCAGACGTGCAAATATTTGTACACTCACGAAAACGGATACGGTTGATGCAGTTGCATTCACTGCACATGTACGTGTGAGTAGTTCGACTGACGTGTGTGCCATCACGCATTTTTCCTGCTCATGCTTCGGGCACCCGGTGCACCTACCCTACCCGTCTTTTGCACACCGACACCAGGGACTGCGGCAGCTTAGCACAGGAAGACGAATACGCACTATTACCTGGCAGCCAGGAAGACGGACTTTCCGCATTCTCTTTTCGACGAGTACGTAATGTAACGACAGACAGACAGACAGACAAGGGGAGAGAGGCCAGGTGGACTGCACTGCCGCATATATTGGCCACTCGGCCAGACGTACGTGTCGGTTTCTTCCCCGCTGCCTGTGGATGGGCGGAGCCAGTGGGGGCGGAGAAGAGGGGACACGCCCTGTGTACTGCCCTTCTGCTGTCCCCGTGTGAATGGGTTTATGTGGTAGCGGTACAGTTACAGACTGGCTTTGTGTTGCATCCATCCTCACTCGGGGTGCGGGCCCCGTACAATTTGAAGCAGATCTTTGTGTAATGACAACACTCAGCGTCGGCTCGACCTTCCGCTGATGCAGGGCAGCATGCTGGTCACTTCTATGGAAGAGATCTGCCAGATCCTTTCTCAAGCGCATCGTGCGAGCTAAAGGAAGAGCCTGTCGATCGACTTATAGAAAAAAAACTTTGCAAAGGCTTTCAGAAAGGTTCTCCTGCTGAAAGCATTCGCATGATGGTGTATTCCAGCGCGATGCACAGTTTGCTGGTCGTCCTGTTGGGCACCTTGGCCGTCACGTGGTGGCGCGTCGGTCCAAGGGTCCACCTGACGGACATCGATAAGTGGATGGATAGTAAGCCGGTCGGGTGGCTCTCCGACCTTGTCATGACCCCGCCGGGAAGGGCCACCGCCCAAATGCTCCAAAAGAAAGGCAGCGGGGGGGCGCACAAGACGTCTGAGCTCGTAAGAAAGATCCACACCGGAATGCACCGACATTGGAAGCGTTCCTGGCTTGTATGTGTCCATGCAGGCCAGGGAGCCTACGTGGCCATCCATGGACACCGCCAAGAAGTGGACGCGTAAGTAACGGAGCGATGAAAGAACAGACGGGAATGGGCACACACCAGATGTGTTGTGTTCTGTGCAGGTCGTTCGTTGTGCAAGCATCTGCTCATCAACCACCGCCCCACCCCGTCGCTGTTGTATCTGCTCGAGAGCCTGGCCCCAACCGTCGAGAGCGTCGTGCTGCAGGGTTCGGTGTCCACTGAGAAGGAGGCACTGGGGCTGCAGCACAACCGCCGCCAGGTGACCGACCGCCGCGTGCGCCTGGCCTTCGAGCGCATGATGCGCGACAAGACCGGCCAATTCAAGAAGATCGACCTGCCGGACAACGAGGAGCCCGTCGCATTCCCCCACCTCAAGGAGGCCACCGTCGGTACCGTGTGGTCCCACATCGCAGACGAGCGCAACTACGATCTAGGGGCCCTCAAGCGTCTGTCTGCCATCGACGCGGGGCAGTATGGGCAGCGCCCGTGGATACAGCGTGCATCAGACGGCCTCTCGTCCATTCAGTTCATCCATGACAAGGTGACGGCAGGGGAGAGAGAGGGGGGATGAGGGGCGATCAACTGAGGATTGGGTGGCTGTTGTCTGTGTGTTGTCAGGGTGATGTCATGTGTGAGGAGGAAGTGGTCCTCGCCGACGTGGCACAAGCTATCGCCAACACTCCCACAGGTGAGGCAGACGCACACCAGCCAGACATCTGGCGGCACAGATCACATCAGCCTTTTCTGTCCAATGTTATGCCAGCTGACACGATTTCGTCACTCACCGGCACCCGGCTCACATTCCGCAGTCCCAGGCACCAGTTCCATGGTCGAAGTGGCCAGGGATACTACGGCGAGCCGCCATACAGCCGCTTCTACGGCACGTACGGCGGCAACGATCCCGACACACTGATGCCCGAGGTCATCGGCAACAACACGGGCGGCCCCATGTGGGAGATCGAGATGTGTTTGGGGGACAGAGCCATCAACTCATCGGACGACATACAGGTGTGTGAGATTGATGACAGCCACACGGATCCAGATCACACGCCTGCATTCATGGCTTGTGTCCTTGTTATGCATGTAATGCATCAGAAGTTGCAAAGCTTCCTCAGCACGTGTCTTGCTGCCGATGCAGCGGAGACATACACCAGCACCGGCACCGAGGGCCTCAAGATCCACCTGCCCTTCACCGGCGACACCAATGCCATCGCAGCCTCCCTCCCGACCGTCCAAGTGTGTTGCCAGCAGGCCCAGAGGGTCACCCTCGACGGCCATCCGCTGCCCAGCACCGTGATGGCAGCTCCAGGGCTCGACACACTCGTGTCTGAGGGGGACCGGGGCATGGAGGCGTATGCGGGCGGCGTGTCGGGTGTCCTGGGCGCGTTGTCTTCACTCGAGCGAGCCATGTTTGAGCTGAGCGTCCAGGCGAACGACCAGCCTCTGCTCTGCATGGTGCCTGAGGGTGTGAGCCATCTCCCTGCTGAAGGCGAGAGCATCACACTGCAGGTCAAGTGCCGTTTTGCCGCACAACAGCCTGCCTATGGCCTCTTCGGTTACTATCACGATGAGGCCAACATGTACATGCATCAGAATGTGTCAGTCGGCTGGCGTGTGTACGGCGGGGAGGGGGAGGCAGGCATCCGCCCCAAAGACAACCACACACAGGTGGGCAAGACTTGCAACCGCCAATTTGCCGCAAATGCCAATGCCTTGCGTGTGCGTGTGCGTGAACAGATGTGCCTTGAGGGGAAGACGCCGCCGACCACGACAAGGACCACGAGGCGCTTTGTAATGGTGACATCGCCAAAGCGAGTACCCGTCCGCATCGTCGTCAAGAGACGGAACAGCAACAGAGGGTCCATACAGCTGCCGGGGATCTGGAGGCACTTGGCTGCCATCGTCGCCCCTTTCAGCCAGGCCGTCACCACCCGGGCGCCGGCGTCCATGCAGCCAGTGAGCGGCA